AACAAACGAAAATACAGCCACCTACATTTCAGCCACGGCCGCGTGTGTCAACTCCAACTAACTTTGATCAATAACTCAACAAAAATACAGCCACCTACATTTCACCCACGACCGCCTGTGTCAACACCAACTAACTTTGATCAATAACTCAACAAAAATACAGCCACCTACATTTCACCCACGGCCGCGTGTGTCAACTCCAACTAACTTTGATCAATAACTCAACAAAAATACAGCCACCTACATTTCATCCACGACCGCCTGTGTCAACTCCAACTAACTTTGATCAATAACTCAACAAAAATACAGCCAGCTACATTTCACCCACGGCCACCTGTGTCAACTCCAACTAACTTTGATCAATAACTCAACAAAAATACAGCCACGTACATTTCACCCACGGCCGCGTGTGTCAACTCCAACTAACTTTGATCAATAACTCAACAAAAATACAGCCACCTACATTTCATCCACTACCGCCTGTGTCAACTTCAACTAACTTTGATCAATAACTCAACAAAAATACAGCCACCTACATTTCACCCACGACCGCCTGTGTCAACACCAACTAACTTTGATCAATAACTCAATAAAAATACAGCCACCTACATTTCACCCACGACCGCCTGTGTCGACTCCAACTAACTTTGATCAATAACTCAACAAAAATACAGCCACCTACATTTCACCCACGGCCGCGTGTGTCAACTCCAACTAACTTTGATCAATAACTCAACAAAAATACAGCCACCTACATTTCACCCACGGCCGCCTGTGTCAACTCCAACTAACTTTGATCAATAACTCAACAAAAATACAGCCACCTACATTTCACCCACGGCCGCCTGTGTCAACTCCAACTAACTTTGATCAATAAGAACAACAAAAATACAGCCACCTACATTTCATTCACTACCACCTGTGTCAACTCCAACTAACTTTGATCAATAACTCAACAAAAATACAGCCACCTACATTTCACCCACGGCCGCCTGTGTCAACTCCAACAAACTTTGATCAATAACTCAACAAAAATACAGCCACCTACATTTCACCCACGGCCACCTGTGTCAACTCCAACTAACTTTGATCAATAACACAACAAAAATACAGCCACCTACATTTCACCCACGGCCACCTGTGTCAACTCCAACTAACTTTGATCAATAACTCAACAAAAATACAGCCACCTACATTTCATCCACGACCGCGTGTGTCAACTCCAACTAACTTTGATCAATAACTCAAAAAATACAGCCACCTACATTTCACCCACGGCCACCTGTGTCAACTCCAACTAACTTTGATCAATAACTCAACAAAAATACAGCCACCTACATTTCACCCACGGCCGCCTGTGTCGACTCCAACTAACTTTGATCAATAACTCAACAAAAATACAGCCACCTACATTTCACCCACGGCCGCCTGTGTCGACTCAAACTAACTTTGATCAATAAGAACAAACAAAAATACAGCCACCTACATTTCACCCACGGCCGCGTGTGTCAACTCCAACTAACTTTGATCAATAACTCAACAAAAATACAGCCACCTACATTTCACCCACGACCACCTGTGTCAACTCCAACTAACTTTGATCAATAACTCAACAAAAATACAGCCACCTACATTTCACCTACAGCCGCGTGTGTCAACTCCAACTAACTTTGATCAATAACTCAACAAAAATACAGCCACCTACATTTCACCCACGGCCACGTGTGTCAACTCCAACTAAATTTGACCAATAACTCAACAAAAATACAGCCACCTACATTTCACCCACGGCCGCCTGTGTCAACTCCAACTAACTTTGATCAATAAGAACAACAAAAATACAGCCACCTACGTTTCACCCACGGCCGCCTGTGTCAACTCCAACTAACTTTGATCAATAACTCAACAAAAATACAGCCACCTACATTTCACCCACGGCCGCCTGTGTCGACTCCAACAAACTTTGATCAATAACTCAACAAAAATACAGCCACCTACATTTCACCCACGGCCGCGTGTGTCAACTCCAACTAACTTTGATCAATAACTCAACAAAAATACAGCCACGTACATTTCAGCCACGGCCGCCTGTGTAAACACCAACTAACTTTGATCAATAACTCAACAAAAATACAGCCACCTACATTTCACCCACGGCCGCCTGTGTCAACTCCAACTAACTTTGATCAATAACTCAACAAAAATACAGCCACCTACATTTCACCCACGGCCACCTGTGTCAACTCCAACTAACTTTGATCAATAAGAACAAACAAAAATACAGCCACCTACATTTCACCCACGGCCACCTGTGTCAACTCCAACTAACTTTGATCAATAACTCAACAAAAATACAGCCACCTACATTTCACCCACGGCCGCGTGTCAACTCCAACTAACTTTGATCAATAAGAACAACAAAAATACAGCCACCTACATTTCACCCACGGCCACCTGTGTCAACTCCAACTAACTTTGATCAATAACTCAACAAAAATACAGCCACCTACATTTCACCCACGGCCACGTGTGTCAACTCCAACTAACTTTGATCAATAATACAACAAAAATACAGCCACTTACATTTCACCCACGACATCGTGTGTCAACACCAACGAACTTTGATCAATAACTCAACAAAAATACAGCCACCTACATTTCACCCACAACCGTCTGTGTCAACACCAACTAACTTTGATCAATAACTCAACAAAAATACAGCCACCTACGTTTCACCCACGGCCACCTGTGTCAACTCCAACTAAATTTTATTTTACCAGCCATCACAAATGATAGCGGCTCAACGAAGTGGCTGCTATCATCATCACGCGAACATTTTTACAGCAGAAATGATTTTGTTGGTTTGTATGACGAGGCTGTTGGTGGGATCTCTTTTTTTTATTTTTGTATAGCTACCAACCGCATGAATTGATCAAACCAAACAGTTATCGTTGAATCCTTCTGCTGCCAGGCCACCAAGATTATACGGCTTACCAAAAATACATAAAGTAGATACACCCCATCGTCCCATCGTCTCTACTATCAACTCCCCCACCTACAAACTGGCTCGTTTTCTGTCTGAAATCCTGCGGCCTTTCACTGGGAAAACCACCTCTGCGGTACAAAAGTATACTCACCTGGTATCGACAATCAAGGGTATTCCCCTGGCCCCAGACGACCTGCTTGTCAGTTTTGATGTAGTTTCCTTATTCACCAAGGTTCCTGTACCTGACACCATCACAATCATTGAAGACTTGGTTCATCAAGGACTAAACACTGAGGTACCCCCCCTGGTGAGACACTGCTTAACCAATACATACTTCACTTGGAATGGAACTTTCTACAAACAAACTGAGGGCACCCCAATGGGCTCCCCCATATCTCCGGTTGTAGCCAACATTTTCAGGGAGAAATTTGAGACTGACGCCATCCAGACTGCCACTCTGCGTCCAACCTTATGGAAGAGGTAAGTGGATGACACTTTTGTCATCTGGCCACATGGCCGGCCTGCTCTAGACCAATTCCTCGACCACATCAATTCCATACACCCAGCCATCAGATTTACCATGGAAGTCGAAAAAGATGGCAAGCCACCTTTTTTTGAATGTCCTAATAAAAAAAGAGACCTGATGGTTCAATGAGCCACTCTGTCTACAGGAAAGCTACCCATACAGATGCTTACCTGAAACCGAATTCCCACCACCATCCATCCCAGAAGAATTCCCTCATCAAGACTCTGCACCATAGAGCCCAATGCATATCCGACCAGGAACACATAGCCAGTGAACTCAAGCACGTACACCAAGCTCTTAAGGCTAATGATTACTCCGACTATACAATCCGCAAAGCCATCACTCCAACCATGAAGAAGGACCCTCTTGAGGAGCCATTCAAAACCATCACTTTACCCTACATTGCGGGGATCACAAAAAAGATATCCAAAATCTTGAATAAACACAAGATCCAGGTCCGATTTAACACATTACATAAAATCCGTGATCTGGTTACGTCTGTAAAAGATGTGATTCCGGACATACAGTACCCTGGCGTCTACAAACTAAGTTGCCTCTGTGGTAGTAGTTACATTGGAGAAACCAAACGCCATGTCTCGGACCGCATTCGTGAACACAAAGCAGACCTTAAACACGGTAGGACCAACACCTCAGCCGTGGCAGATCACTGTTATAATTCAGTAGGCTCACATGACATTGACTTCTCCAAGACAGAGGTTCTTTGCAAGCCATCTGGCCAGCATGAGAGATTCGTTCATGAGGCAATCCACATATATACACAGAGACAATTTCAACCGAGAAGATGGATTCTGGCTTAGCAATCATTGGAAGGATTTGATAAACCATTTCGGGTCTTAATTGATTGTTCACGCTATGGTTGGCTTTCAGACCACATCCATTATTTTCGTCTCCCCCTTCTCTTTTCCGAACATAGATGGACTCGTCCATCTGAACAAAACTGTCAAATCTCTCTCCGTGGTGCTAACGTTATAAAAAAACGCCACTTTTTAAAAATGTCCTTGCTGTGGTTTTCACACCTGATGATGATTGCTTGCGTTGCAGTCGAAACTTCGTGAGAATTTTAATGTTTCATATTTTTATTATTTTATTGTTTCCCTTCTCCGTGGTGGTGACTTTACCGAAAGAACCAAGAATATGAATCCCTGCAGTCACGAAAGCTTGAAATCAAAATTTAAAAAAATCTTGTTATGTTAACAGGTACAAATGATAGCTCAACGGAGTGGCTTATCACGCGGGAATGTATAGAAGCAGCCAATCACTCCAATCGCGTGTTTCTAAATGTGGAGGACCCGGTAAGAACGATCCACGCGACCACCTAAAGGTAGAGAAAGACGCAGACTGAAAATATTCCAGCAGCAGGTGAACCCACACAGCATCCCTGTACACCGGGCGAGGTAGTCAACATCTCCTAGCCACCGCGACGCCCATGATGATGGTGGTGAATGAACGATGAGCGTTCGTCCTCACCAGTAGTTGTGATAAGAGCAGCGTCTCTGTCCCCGGGGTCATGACGCTCTCCTCTCCTCGTCACAGACTCCTCGTCGCAGTCTCTCGTTAACGCGTTGACCGTCGGTCTTGCGATTGAGTGGAAGTGTGTTTGTGTTGTGTGTGTGTGAGAGAGAGGCTTTAGTGTGGACGAGTGAGTGGATCGATATGTGCTGGGGTGCATTTGAGTGTGTGAGATGTCGAGCGGGTGATTGGGTTGGTGAGGCTGTTTATGTGTGTGTGTGTGATTGAGTGTGGGTGAGTATGAATGTGCGTGTGAGATTCAGGCTGGACGAGCGTGGATCGGTGTGTGTGTGCTTGAGCGTGTGAAGGATTCAGTGTGGGTGTGTTTGTTTGCGAGATTGAGTGGGTGAGTGTGTGTATGTGTATGTGAGGGTAGATGAGTGAGTAGGTGAGTGTGTGTATTTGAATGTGGATGAATGAGTGGGTGAGTGTGTGTATTTGATAGTGAATGAGTGAGTGGGTGAGTGTGTGTATTTGATAGTGAATGAGTGAGTGGGTGAGTGTGTGTGTGTGTATTTGATAGTGAATGAGTGAGTGTGTGTATTTGAGATTGGATGAGCGTGTGTAGGATTCAGTGTGGGTGTGAGAGATTGAATGGGTGAGTGTATGTGAGGGTGTGTATGTGAGGGTGGATGAGTGAGTGGGTGTCTGTATTTGATAGTGGGTGAATGTGTGTATTTGAGAGCGGGTGAGTGAGTGGGTGAGTGTGTGTATTTGGGGGGTGGGTGAGTGAGTGGGTGATTGTGTGTATTTGAGAATGAGTGAGTGGGTGAGTGTGTGTATTTGAGAGTGGATGAGTGAGTGTGTGTATGTGAGGGTGGATGAGTGAGTGGGTGAGTGTGTGTATTTGGGGGTGGGTGAGTGAGTGGGTGACTGTGTGTATTTGAGAATGAGTGAGTGGGTGAGTGTGTGTATTTGGGAGTTGGTGAGTGAGTGGGTGAGTGTGTGTCTGTGAGGGTGGATGAGTGAGTGGGTGAGTGTGTGTATTTGTGAGTGGGTGAGTGAGTGGGTGAGTGTGTGTATTTGGGGGTGGATGAGTGAGTGGGTGAGTGTGTGTATTTGGGGGTTGGTGAGTGAGTGGGTGAGTGTGTTGTATTTCACAGTGGGTGAGTGAGTGGGTGAGTGTGTGTGGGTTTGAGAGTGTCTCTGTAAGAAGTGTGATTTTAGAGTATGGATGTCTGTGTGTGTGTGTGTGAGATTGGGGGGCTGTGTGTGTGTGTGTGAGTATGAACGAGTGTCTCAGTCAGTCTGTCTCTTGTCACCAATCTTTGTCGAACATCGTTGGCGGTGATCGTTTGCCGGTCTTCACAAAGCGCCTCATTGGAACAAATGTCACTTCGAACAAACGAATCACATTGGCCTGGCCATATACGGAGATCGCTTCAGTACTTCCGGTAAACGGTCACCTGGAATGCGGCCAAGTGGGTTTTAGTATCGTGTCACTGATGACCATTAAGGGCCGTCCATAAATGACGTCACGCACCTGGGGGAGGGGGGGGGTGGGGGGTCAGACGTTTGTGACGAAGGGGGGGGGAGGGGATGGGGGGGGGTTTGAGAAATGTGACGTCACATCTAATTGCGCAACTTTATAAATAAATACAGACGACACGTTCTATTTAAAGTTTGATTTAAAGCTTTCGTGACTGCAGTGATTCATATTTTTGGTTCTTTCGGTAAAGTCACGTTGAAGGGAAACAATAAAATAATAAAATATATTGCATATATATATTGTTTTATGTATATTATTATTTTATTGTTTTCCTTCAACGTGACTTTACCGAAAGAACTAAGAACACGTTCTACTTAATTAAATAGACTTTTTTAAACAAATGTTATCTACCTACAACATCAAGGTGCAGCGCCGCATTAAATACGCACTACAATGTGACAATAGTTTAAAGCCATTTGAAGCATGTTTCATATATTTTTTTGGGCGGGGGTGGGGGGGGTGGGAGGCAGAGCTTTGTGACGTCATATTTGAGGGGGGGTCTGACTTTTTGTGACGTCATGTGATCGTCCAAAATCGCAGCGAGAGCTATATAAGTAAGGGGGAGGGGGGGGTGGAGGGGGGGAGGAGCCAAGGAGGAGGGATAGAGCGAGTGGGGGTGTTAAGGTTTTCACAGGTACATGAGAGATTCGTTCATGAGGCTATCCACATATACAAGCACAGAGACAATTTCAACCGAGAAGATGGATTCTATCTTAGCAATCATTGGAAAGATTTGATAAACCATTTCAGTTCTTAATTGATTGTTCACGCTTACAGTGGCTTTCAGACAGCATACATTATAAAAAAAAATTCGTCTCCCCCCTCCTCTTTTCAGAATATAGATGGACTAGTCCTAAATAATCTGCCAAATCGTTGCGCGTGGCGCTAACGTTTTTTTTATAAATAAATAAATGTGCCGTTTAAAAAAAAAATATGCAAACCAACACACCTGAAGATGACCGTTTGAGTTATGGTCGAAACGTCGTGAGAATTTTTTTTATAGTTTTATATATATTTATATATTATTTTGTTGTTTCTCTTCAACGTGGTGACTTTACCGAAAAAACTAAGATTATAGGTACAACCTTAACTGCTTCATAGTTTGCCTCAATACCTATCCGCATCTCCAGTTCTTCAGCCTCCTATCCACCAGCCCCGGCATTGTGTTCTACTCGGTGTTGGAGCTCGCACCTCTCCACTCCCCCTACCCCACGTCCCCAACTCTCTCTATCTCTCCACCCTGGCTCCTCCTCCCCCCCATCCCCCCTCTCTTACTTATAAAGCCTCTTGTTACAAGCAAACCCCCTTTTTGCCCACTTCAGCAATAAGTTGATTGCTGTGGCTGTCCCCACCTGATGATGGACGCTTGTGTTGCGCCCGAAACGTCGTGATTTAGCTGATTTTATTTTATGCCCCCCCCCCACGTGACTTTACCGAAAGAACCAAAAGATCATGGATCCCTGCAGTCACGGAAACTTCAAATCTAGATTTCAGTCAGTTTTTTACGACAATACCATCGGTGGTTACTACGATAGTCAGTATATACTACTGTAGAGTCAGGAGATACTTCTGTATTATCAATAGATACTACTACTACTACAGAGTCACTAGATACTGCTGACTCTATTGTATGTAGGTCGTGTAAGGTATACATGTCTACAAAATACAAATTTCCTGGGGGCGGTAAAATGATTTTGGGTGGGGGTTGACAATTTTTGGAAACATTTTAGATCAACTATTTACCCCCCCCCCCCCCCCCCCCCCCCCACCACCATCTATTACTTTTTGATTCAGGACTTCGGAAAGGCTCTTATAATTCCTTCTGACGGACAAATGGATAGACAAACGGAACACCGGGCTTTCACAACAGCCTAGTATTTGTGTATGTATAACCGATGTCTTTTTTAAGAGAAGACAAGTTTTGAAATACATTTTTTTACCCCGTGAAAAGCCGGGTACTTCCTGCTAGTATTTTTTTATAAATCTTTAGTAGCTCCATGGAACGTTTTATTCCCTATTCAGTCCCCTACACAATGGTTAAAAAACCGCACCTGACTATATTTCCCAGACACTCGATGTCTAAACCAGTCCAGAGTTTCGCTTGTATTGAACCAACATCGCCAATCACATTCGTTCATTTGTTGCCAAGGCGGTGAGGCAGACATCAACTTCCTCGTCTGGTATGGGTTCGATAGCGACTCTGAGAATGCCTCCGGGTTTTTCCCTCTACATTTAAAATCAACGTCATGCGTTACGAGCAGGGGTGCCAAACTCAATCGGACCGCCACGCCTCAGTTAGGCCTATGAAAATGAGACGCGTTATTTACCGAACATCGACTGCATCAAAGAACGACATTGCTAAGTTCATGACAACACTCCACATAACGTAAAAAAACACATTCATGAATAAAATAATTACGTGGCAAGATGTCATCTGCCTCGCCCGGTATACAGGAGGTCATGGGTTCGATCCCGGCCATGACGCCTACTGCATATTTGGAGTTTGCATGTCACTCTCTCTTTCTCTCCCCGTGGTCGCGTGGATCTTTATCCGGGTCCTCCGGTTCTCCCATCCACATTCAGAGCCAACATCACCACGCATTTAGAGTTATTTGGCTGCCGCCATACATTTTCCACGTGCTGATGATATCAGCCACTTTGTTGAGCTCCTACCATTTGTGATTTGAAGTTTCCGTGACTGCAGGGATCAATACTCTTTGTGTTTTTTTTGGGTTTTTTTTCCGGTGAAGTCATCACGTAGTTGGGTAGCAAAAATAAATAAAATAAACTAAATCATGACGTTTCGGGTGCAACACAAGCATCCGTCGCCGGGTGGGACGACCGCAGCAATAAACAATTTGCTGAAGTGGGCAAAAGGGCTGCCGTGACAAGAGGCTTTATAGGTCAGAGAGAGGGGGGGGGGAGGAGCCAGGGAGGAGAGACAGCGGGAGGGGAGTGGGCGGGGCTGGGGAAGTGGGCGGGGCTGGAAGTGGGCGTGGCTGGGATTGGGAGGATGAAGAAACTGGAGACGCGGATATGAAGGCAACAGCCATGAAGCCGTCCAGGGTTTTTACCTGGTTAATGACATCCTTCCAATGATTGCTTAATTTGTATCCATCTTCACGGGTTGAAGTTACGTTTATATATCTGGATGGCTTCATGAACAAACCTTTGATAGTAGCCCGAAGGTGATGGCCAGGTCACTTCCGATAAAATGACTACAAAGTATCTCGGTGGGGCCTTACACCTGGTCAAATGAACACGAATGTTAGTTAGTTTTAGTCTCTGCGCAGATCAAGGCCGTAGCCATGGAGTCAACATTGGGAGGGGGAGGGGGTCCCAACCCAGAGAAATATCTACATTAAAAAATTCATTTCCTTCCTAAAATATATTTTAAAAAAAATTCACTAACACACGGGATGGAAATTTATTTATTTATTTTTAACAATAATGTCTAATAGTGTTTCATTGTATTTACATTGCTCCGTATTTGTTTTTGTTTCGTCGTATGTAATGGCAGAGATTCGGGATTAATAAAGTACAACCATGACCACAATCACGTAAACATAAATCTACGCGTTGATTTATATGAAGACGAGTCCAGATATTGTGGCCAAGGTTTAGAAAATTGTTATTTTTATTTACATAGGATAGCAATTATTATAGCAATATATTAGGGGGGGCATTTGGAGCATATTTGAATACTGGGGGAGGATGTGTCCGCCCCAATATATATATATTAAAACTAGCTGTGCTACCCGGCTTATGCCCGGGACTTGGATTCACCACGCCCGACCGCCTTTGTCTCCCTAGTGGCAATGTTTACACACCGCGCCAGGTACTCGTTTGAGGCTGAGTCGACCTAGGGGAGGCCCGGGACCGGTTCAGATAATCGTCACTGGTGTTGGCCGTGAGCGGGAATCGAACCCGAGTCGCCAGGTTCATAGCGCAGCGCGCTAACCACTACAGACACACACACAGACACACACACAGACACACAAACACACAGACACACAGACACACACACATACACACAGACATGCACATACACACACACAGACAGCGCGCTAACCACTCCACTACAATGCGTCACGCTTCCACGTGCGCGGGTCACGTGGCAGAATTGACGTCACAGCTCACTTCCCGTGCAAAAAATAAATATGAATTAATGAGCCCCCCCCCACCCAAAAAAAATACAAAAGTTTTATTTTTATAATGTTTGCATGGTGTACAGTCTGCAAAGTACCCACGTGCCAAATTTAAAGTTTGTTGCATGTCGGGAAGTACGCTAAAACATTTTCAACACATAATCACAACTTCTGCCTTTTACACATGTGTATATATAGATTGCGGCCTTGGTGCAGATACACATCTGGCAAGGAGGCGCTGGGCATTCCTCGCATTCCACGCGTGCATAACCACGGGAGGAGCGGTGGCGCAGCAGTTAGCGCGCTGCGCTACGCGACCAACCGGGCCTAAGACCCGGGTTCGATTCCCGCCCACGGCCAAGGCCACGGCCACCGCCACCACCGGTGGAATAGATGAACCGGTGCTGGGCCTCCCCTAGGTCGACTCAGACCCAAACGAGTACCTGCTGCAGTGGTGCGCGCTAAACATCGCCACCGGGGAGACAAAGGCGGACGGGCGGGCGGGCGGGCGAGATTGGTGCTGGCCAACTCACCCCCTCGACTCGAGTGCCGTAGTGCCGGTAGCCTTCATAGGCGCTGCTGCTAACAGCACTTGCCCCAACAGTCTGTTACAGGCTACACCGGGGAAGAACCTTTGTCTTTGTACATTGCCACTCCCTTCTCTTAGCGCAACTCACGACTGACGTCACGCTCACCTGACCGCATATTTCGTGATAAGCCGCAGGTGTTTATTTTTTTATTTTATATAACGCAGTGCAGGGTTTTAAATTTGATTCGGGAAGGGTCGCGTTGCTTGTTGAAGACGAACAAGGCCAAGCGGAGCTCACTCGCGTTTTTATCCCAGTCGAATCACTCTCACGCTCATCCACACACTCACTCACTCTCGCTCTCGCTCATACACACATTCACTCTCGCTTACACTCACTTACTCTCACTCACACTAACTCTCACTCTCATCCACACACTCTCACTCTCATCCATACACTCTCACTCACTCTCACTCACTCACTCTCACTCACTATCATCCACACACCTACTCACTCTCTCACTTACTCACTCACCCACTCAATTACTCTCTCTCACTAACTCTCACTCACTCTTGCTCATCCACACACTCACTCTCACACTCACTCACTCAATCACTCTCACGCTTATCCACACACTCATTCTCACTCACTCACTCTCACACTCAATCTCACACACAGACAAACACTCATTCACGCTCAATCTCTCTCACACACTCAGACACTCACTCACACTCAATCTCACGCACACAGACACTCACACTCAATCTCACACACACGGAGACACTCACACTCAAACTCACACACACTCAGACACTCACACTCAAACTCACACACACTTAGACACTCACACTCAATCTCACACTCACACTCAATCTCACACACACACAGACACTCACACTCAATCTCACACACACTCAGACACTCACTCACACTCAATCTCACACATACACACAGACACTCACACTCAATCTCACACACACACTCACACTCAATCTCACACACACACTCACACTCAATCTCACACACACACTCACACTCAATCTCACACTCAATCTCTCACACACACACACAGACACTCACACACACAAACTCAATCTCACACACACTCAGACACTCAATCTCACACACACACACAGAAACTCACACTCAATCTCACACACACTCAGCCACTCACACTCAATCTCACACACACACTCAATCTCACACACACACACACAGACACTCACACTCAATCTCACACACACTCAGACACTCACTCACACTCAATCTCACACACACTCAGACACTCACACTCAATCTCACACACACACACTCAATCTCACACACACACACATACAGACACTCACACACACATAATCTCACACACACTCAGACACACACACTCAATCTCACACACACTCAGACACTCACACACACACTCACACTCAATCTCACACACACACAGACACTCACACACACACACAATCTCACACACACACAGACACTCACACACACACTCACACTCAATCTCACACACACACACTCAATCTCACTCACACACACTCAGACACTCAATCTCACACACACACACTCAATCTCACACACACACTCACACTCAATCTCACACACACTCAAACACACACACACTCAATGTCACTCACACACACTCAGACACTCACACTCGACGCACATGACAGGCGGCCAGCAAAGTGAGGCGAGCGACTGGGAGACTGAGCGGAGTCCGTGACGAGTGGCAGGAGATCCTCACGACCCCCTGGACAGCGATGCTCCGTCTGTTTCTCATGGTGAGGACAACCGCTCCTCATTCACTCACCTTCGTCATCGTCACGGTGGTGGCTAGGAGATGTTGACCACCTCGCCTGGTACACAGGGAATGTCGTGGGTTCGATGCCGACCCTGACGACGCCTGCTGTTGCTGCTGCTGTTTATTTAGAATTTGCGTGTCTCTCTCCCTCTCTCTCTCTCGACAATATGGTCGCGTGGATTTTTCTCCACGTGACGATGATCTCCGGATCTCTTTGGGGCCCCATGGGTTCTCTAGAAACACCGCTTGCGTTGTGATCGAAACGTCGTGATTTATTTGCTTTTCCAACTACGTGATGACTTTACCGAAAGATCCAAAGAGTTTGGATTCATTCCTGCAGTCACGAAAGCTTCAAATCAAGATTTCTGGAGCGTAATTGCAACCTGTACTTCACTTCCGTAAGAGTTTTATATTATTATTTTTTTTGGGGGGGGGGGTGAGGGGGGCAGAGGTTGTGGTTATATCGCGTGATTATTAATGTTGTGTCGTCGTGCAAGCCGCCACCACCACCACCCGACACAGCCAGTCAGTAAGAGGGGTTTGTCAGGTAACACTAAAAACGTAGCCAATGAGTTACTAGTTTCAGTACCCAACCGGTCGTGTTTCTTTGTTGGAAAGTAACCCCACTACACAACTGTCAACACGTACGGGTTATTGTAGATTTGAAGTTTTCGTGACTGCAAGCATCCTTACGCTTGGTTCTTTTGGTAAAGTCACGTAGGCGAAGAAAGGTATAAATAAAATAAAAGATTCATCTTCTTTGGTTCTTTCGGTAAAGTCACGTAGAATGATAATAAAATAATAAATTGATAAAATAAAATAACACAATAATATTCTCACGACGTTTCGGCCACAACACAAGCGGCCTTCATCTTGTGTTGTGGCCGAAACGTCGTGAGAATTTTATTGTGTTATTTTATTTTATCAATTTATTATTTTATTATCATTCTACGTGACTTTACCGAAAGAACCAAAGAAGATGAATCATTGCAGTCACGAAAGCTTTAAATCGAAAAATAAAAGATTAATAATTAAAATGACGACTTTCGGTAGCAACACAAGCAAATCATCATCGATGACGATTGCGTGTGTTGCGATGGAAATGTCGTGATTTAATTTAACTTATTTTTTTAATATCTTTTAGTTTATTTCTATGTTTATTTATTTTATTTGTTTTTATTATTTTGCTTTACCTACGTGGCTTTACTGAAAGAAACAAGAGCAAGTATACATACCGTGTACTCCCTATTCATACGATTCGCTCCGTGATCTTGTACAGGGACATTGAGTTTTCAGGTCCACACAGCATACAGCCGTTTCGCTACGGGCAAAACAAAAAAAAAACACAGTATTTGTTTTTTTCTTCTTTGGTTCTTTCGGTAAAGTCACCACCGTCACGTAGAATGAGAATAAAATAATAAATTGATCAAATAAAATAACACAATAATATTCTCACGACGTTTCGGCCACAACACAAGCGGCCTTCATCAGGTGAAGGGGACGAGACTGTCTGGTAGGACAGCGCTGGAGTTAAAAAAGCCACGTTCAGATCACGACCTTTAAGCTGTGTGAGAGGAAACAAAGCGCCTTGACAAAGGAATTAGCATTTTACAGACCAATTCAGACCAATTCAGACCTCTAATTGTGATGGAACTTTGTAGGATGAACGTTGAGATTTATAAGGGGGCACGGGGGTGACCAATAAGGTCTTAATTAGTCTGTAATAGGGTAGGTAGGGGCACTGATCAGGAGTTGATGCAGGCAGTAGCGGTGTGTGTACTAGTTGTGAGTGCAGTGGTGGTGATTGTATATTTGTTTGCGTTTCTCCCTTTGCGATGGGACTTTGTAGGATTAACGTTGAGATTTATAAGGGGGCACGGGGGTGACCAATAAGGTCTTAATTAGTCTGTAATAAGGTAGGTAGGGGTACTGATTAGGAGTTGATGCAGGCAGTAGCGGTGTGTGTACTAGTTGTGAGTGCAGTGGTGGTGATTGTCTATTTGTTTGCGTTTCTCCCCTTGCGATGGGACTTTGTAGGATGAACTTTGAGATTTATAAGGGGGCACGTGGTTGACCAATAGGGTCTTAATTGATCTGTAATAAGGTAGGTAGGGGCACTGATTAGGAGTTGATGCAGGCAGTAGCGGTGTGTGTACTAGTTGTGAGTGCAGTGGTGGTGGTTGTCTAGTTGTTTGAGTTTCTCCCCTTGCGATGGGACTTTGTAGGATGAACGTTGAGATTTATAAGGGGGCACGGGGGTGACCAATAAGGTCTTAATTAGTCTGTAATAAGGTAGGGAGGGGCACTGATTATGAGTTGATGCAGGCAGTAGCGGTGTGTGTACTAGTGGTGAGTGCAGTGGTGGTGATTGTCTATTTGTTTGCGTTTCTCCCCTTGCGATGGGACTTTGTAGGATGAACTTTGAGATTAATAAAGGGGCACGGGGGTGACCAATAAGGTCTTAATTGATCTGTAATAAGGTAGGGAGGGGCACTGATAAGGGGTTGGCAGGTATTCATTCCGCGATTGAGATTTTATTCAGATGAATCCGGAGAAGTCTGCAGAGAAAAGAAGAAGCCGACTGAACGTAAACAAGCAGCAGAGATGGCGTAGTTGATAAAATCGAGAAAACCCGGATCGTTTACTTACTTGAAAAATACCAATACATGTCCACCTCTTATTAGCGCCTCCCATTTTACAGACCAATTCAGACCTCGTTGCTCACCCAATGCCCTCATAAATCTCACAGCTCATACGACAAAGTCCAATGAGGTGGGAGAAACACAAAAAGACCATTGTTTTTTATTACTACACGCTTTTATTTAACTCACTCAGTGTGTTGTCCTATCCTCAAAACATCTTGTAACTAAATTTTTTACCCGCTTCCTAATGTGGTATCGACTGAAAACTTGGTATACTTACGTCGCACCGATGTCAAGACTGTGTTCTATCGTTAAAATTTAAAATATATATATATTTTTTTACATTGTATACACGCTTTCATTTAACTTACTGTCTGTTGTATCCTCAAATCTTGTAACTCAATTTCACCCATCTTGCCAATGTGGTATCGACTGAAAACTTGGTGTATGTATGTCATACTGATGACAAGACTGTGTTCTATCGTAAAAAATTTAAATTATATATTTTTTAACATTTTATACACGCTTTTATTTAACTTACTGTCTGTTGTATTCTCAAATCTTGTAACTCAATTTCAACCATCTTGCCAATGTGGTATCGACTGAAAACTTGGTGTATGTATGTCATACTGATGACAAGACTGTATTCTATCGTTAAAATTTTAAAATATATATATTTTTTAACATTTTTTACATGCTCTTATTTAACTTACTGTCTGTTGTATCCTCAAATCTTGTAACTCAATTTCAACCATCTTGCCAATGTGGTATCGACTGAAAACTTGGTGTATGTATGTCATACTGATGACAATACCATATTCTATCATTAAAAAATGTAAATATATTTTTAAACAATCCTTTTTTTTACGGCTCGAATTGTGCCACGCTCAATATTTGATTTTATTGACTTAAATAAGGCTTTTCTTGACTTAAATAAGGCGTTTCTTGACTTAAATAAGGCTTTCGTGAATGGCAGCAATTCACATTATTTGGGTCTTTACGTTAAAGTCACGTGGATTGATTCAAAGAAAATAACAAGCGATCGCCATCAGGAGGAAAAAAACAAAATAAAAGATAGCTCGTGTTGTGATCGAAACGTGGTCGTAGCTTTTTTTTTCGTAATTTTATTTTGTTATTTTCTTTGAACCTATCCACGTGACTTGACCGAAAGACCCAACGAATATGAAGAGCATTGTTTGAGCAAGAGCTCAACGCCGTATGGACCTGCAAGCTCAACTTCGCTGACGAAACGGCGACGCCACTCGCGACGTCTACGTATCGTGCACCGTGACTTTTCTCCGGCAATTCACAACGACGACCACGAGGACGAGGAGGAGGACGAGAGCAAAACCGGCGTCACGATGAGCCGTCAACCCCCGATGAGGCTGTTCGCCGACCCACCTGGAGGCCCACCGTTACAACTCCCCCCCCGGGGACACTTGGACACTTGGACCGGCAATAAAAAAAATAAAATCACCCGTCCACTAAGGCAGCTCAAAGGTCACCACCCTGCCCACACAACTGGGTGGCCATGAGGTCAGTGACGTCAAACTCTGCACTCCCGCTCCGATTGGTTCAGCCACGATGGCGTGATTGAATCGCCCTCACCTGGGATGCAGGGAGGTTTTCCGTCGTTTCGATCTCGATTCCCCCCCGGGGCCCTCGCTGCTGCGGATTTGGAGTCTGCAGTCTCCTCTGTAAGATAACTCGCGATCAAAAAAACGTCAATCCGTACGGCAGCCCGGAAGGATGTATTGAAGACGTTTGTGAACTCATCCACCGTCAAACAACGCTTGCGGGCTTCCTAGAGTCAAGCGGTTACTTTGAAGGGTTGGCGTATGGCCGCACGTAACACTTGGACGATTTCGTGAAAAAAAAAATATTTTTGATGTTGATTATAATTAGGGGACCGTCCATAAATGACGTCACGCACCTTGGGGGTGAGGGGTCAGACATTTGTGACGATGTGTGACGAGGGGTGGGGGTGGGGGGTGGGGGGTTCAGAAATATGACGTCACATCAAATTTACACAACTTTATAAATAAATACGGACAACACGTTCTACTTAATTAAATTGACTTTTTTAAATAAATGTTTTCTACCTACAACATCAGAGTGTAGCGCCACATTAAATACGCACTACTACAACGACGATAGTTTAAAGCGATTTGAAGCGTAAAATTTTGATTTAAAGCTTTCGTGACTGCAGTAATTCGTATTCTTAGTTTTTTCGGTAAAGTCACCACGTTGAAGGGAAACAACAAAATAATATATAAATATATATAAAACAATGAAAAATTCTCACGACGTTTCGACCATAACTCAAACGGTCGTCTTCAGGTGTGTTGGTTCGCATTAATTTATTTTTAAACGGCGCATTTATTTATAACTGCCAAATCGTTGCACGTGGCGCTAACTTTTTTATAAATAAATAAATGCGCCGTTTAAAAATAAATTTATGCAAACCAACACACCTGAAGATGACCGTTTGAGTTATGGTCGAAACGTCGTGAGAATTTTTTTATTGTTTTATATATATTTTATTATTTTGTTGTTTCCCTTTCAAAACTAAGAATACGATTTGAAGCGTGTTTTATTTTTGAGGGGGGGGGGTCAGAGCTTTGTGACGTCATATTTAAGGAGGGGGTGTCTGACTCTTTGTGACGTCGTGTGACGAGGGGGGGGGGGTTAAAAAATCGTCCAAAATCGCGTGACGTCATTTATGGACGGCCCCTTAACATTATTTCTCAGAACCACGTTGGGGCGACAGGCAAGGGTGGGGTCCCAACGACTCGGCTTGAAATGCAAATTCAACAAGTGGCCAAAAAAACAGGTTGACAACCAGATTAGGATTTAAAAAAAAATTAATGAAGCGAAGCTGCCTTGCACTGTGATGCGTTGTGGCCGATGGTCAAGAGCAGCGGCGGAGTGGCAGGGCTATGAGTATCTGTGTATCTGTGGGTCTCTCTGTGTATCTGTGGGGCTCTGTGTGTATCTATGGGTCTCTGTGTGTATCTATGGGTCTCTGTGGGGCTATGGGTCTCTGTGTGTATCTATGGGTCTCTGTGTGTATCTGTGGGTCTCTGTGTAACTGTGGGTCTCTGTGTGTCTATGTGTCTCTGTGTGTATCTATGGGTCTCTGTGGGGCTATGGGGCTGTATGCATCTCTGTGTGTCTCTGTGCGTATCTATGGGTCTCTCTGTGTATCTGTGGGTCTCTGTGTATCTATGGGTCTCTGTGTGTATCTATGGGTCTCTCTGTGTATCTGTGGGTCTCTGTGTACGTCTATGGGTCTCTGTGTGTATCTGTGGGTCTCTGTGTGTATCTGTGTCTCTGTGCGTGTCTATGGGTCTCTGTGTGTATCTATGGGTCTCTGTGTATCTATGGGTCTCTGTGTGTATCTGTGGGTCTCTGTGTATCTGTGGGTCTCTGTGTGTCTCTATGTGTCTCTGTGTGTATCTATGGGTCTCTGTGTGTATCCGTGGGTCTCTGTGTGTATCTATGTGTCTCTGTGTATCCGTGGGTCTCTGTGTATCTGTGGGTCTCTGTGTATCTGTGGGTCTCTGTGTGTGTCTATGTGTCTCTGTGTGTATCTGTGGGTCTCTGTGTGTATCTATGGGTCTCTGTGTGTATCTGTGGGTCTCTGTGTGTATCTGTGGGTCTCTGTGTATCTATGGGTCTCTGTGTGTATCTGTGGGTCTCTGTGTGTATCTGTGGGTCTCTGTGTGTATCTATGGGTCTCTGTGTATCTGTGGGTCTCTGTGTGTCTCTATGGGTCTTTGTGTGTATCTATGGGTCTCTGTGTGTGTCTATGTGTCTCTGTGTGTATCTGTGGGTCTCTGTGTGTATCTGTGGGTCTCTCTGTGTATCTGTGGGTCTCTGTGTGTATCTGTGGGTCTCTGTGTGTATCTGTGGGTCTCTGTGTGTATCTGTGGGTCTCTGTGTGTATCTTTGGGTCTCTGTGTGTATCTATGGGTCTCTGTGTGTATCTGTGGGTCTCTGTGTGTATCTGTGGGTCTCTGTGTGTATCTTTGGGTCTCTGTGTGTATCTATGGGTCTCTGTGGGGCTATGGGTCTCTGTGTGTATCTGTGGGTCTCTGTGCGTGTCTATGGGTCTCTGTGTGTATCTATGGGTCTCTTTGTGTCTATGTGTCTCTGTGTGTATCCGTGGGTCTCTGTGTGTATCTATGGGTCTCTGTGTATCTGTGGGTCTCTGTGTGTCTCTATGGGTCTTTGTGTGTATCTATGGGTCTCTGTGTGTGTCTATGTGTCTCTGTGTGTATCTATGGGTCTCTGTGTGTATCCGTGGGTCTCTGTGTGTATCTATGGGTCTCTGTGTGTGTCTTTGGCTATCTGTATCTCTCAAGGTCTCTGTATATTCATGGGTGTCTGTGTATCTATGGGTATCTGTATCTCTATGTGTCTCTATGCGTATCCATTGGTTTATGTGTGTATCTACAGGTCTCTGTGTGTATCTATGGGTCTCTATGGGTCTCTATGCATCTCTATGAGTCTCCATGCGTAGCTTTATGCTTTGCGCCTCTTGCTTGAGCTTCTATCAATTTGTGACGACCAGGTCGCTCCTGAAATCAAATCTGCACAGCAACTCATTGTGAACCTTGCCTGGTAAAATAACACGGAGTAAGTAGCAGGGGTACAAGTACGTCCAAATGTTGGAAACGCGGCGTTTGGCGGATCCTTTGCATCGCAGAGCCGTGAAACATTTGAGACGGCTTCGGGTAAGGCCTTCATCAGGCAGCAGATTGATTATAATCAATCATTGATTGACGCCGATGAATGTTTAGCCACGTGTCATTCCATCTAGACTCAATGAATTCTGTCCGGAGATTGCAATCTCGGGAAAATTCCGAGAAACCCCTCCCCCCACCCCACCACCACCTGGTACCTGTACCCTGCATCCCCCGGAAGTCGACTCAGCCTTAACAACAACAACTAAACACACAGATAGACCTGGTACGGTGTAGTAGTGCTTATCATCATTGGCACGTGGGCGTGGGGTGTGGTCCTGCCCACGCGCCGACCACGACAAAGGTAACGACAAAGGTAACGACTCCCCGTAAAGCCTTACCAGACTGTCGGGGCAAGTGCTGTCGGCGAGCTCCTATGAAGGCCGGTAACGTCACACGAGGGAAGTGGGTGGCCACCTTTGTCTCCCTAGCGGCAACATGTTCACACACCGCTACACCAGGTACTCGTTTGAGGCTGAGTCGACCTGGGGGGATGGGCCCGGGACCGGTTCAGACAATCGTAACTGGTGATGGCTGTGAGCGGGGATCGAACCCCGGGTCGCCGGGTTCACAGTGCGGTGCGCTAACCGCTGCGCCACCACTCCCCACCAGCGCTTCCCCGTCGCAGCAAGCGGCAGTGTGTGTGGGGCCATCCTGGTGGGCGGTGGGTGGGGGGGTGGTCGCTTTGTTTTTGTGCCTCTCTCATCAACTACAAACGAGGCCCTCCCTTAAAATGGGCAAGGCGAGGGGGGAGAGAGCCCCCGAATTGGCCCATGTGCAGCCGAGTGAACTCGCCTCTGTGGCTCCGTCTGAATGTGAAATTTGCAGCTGTCGCTCTGCCCTCTACAATCAGCCGCTCAATTCCGCCGCGAATCTTCCCCTGCAGATGCTTTTCCCGCAGCAACTGTCCTCCGCCGGGGAGTGCGGCGATGGATTCTACAAAACACCGCAAGGAGTTTGCTGTGAGCTGTGCCGTGCAGGTAAAGCAACACAGACACGGAGGCTTCCGATCTACGCGCCTCTGTGGAATGACAACGTGTGGTGACCGGATGCTTCCTTCCCTCCACCCAAGTCAGCTCCTCTCACTGCATTCTAGGCTATGGGGTTGGTGGTTACTGGAGAAATGAGAAATGAGAGATGTTGCCACTTGAGAAATGTATTGCTGTCGAGGTGGATACTTGCTGCGTCAAAGAGCTGACCGACGTAGAAGTCAATTAAAAAGGTAGCGCCATAGAAGAAGACAACCTGATGATGATGATGATGATGCAGGCAGGGATCAAAGGGAAACTGACACTATTTCATACCTGTCAACCTCTTATCTCAGTGCCTTACCTTATTACAGGTCAATTCAGACCTTATTGGTCACCCCTTTGTCCTTTCAAATCTTAACGTTTAACCTACAAAGTCCCATCACAACGGAGAAACACCAACAAATAGACACAACAATTGCCTGTATTGAAACGGCTGAACGCTGTATGGACCTGAAAACTCAATTTCCGGGTAAGACATATGGGTTGACAGGTGTGCTATTTGGACGCACATGTGTCGTCGGATGAACAACGACAAGAAATGCATAAGTGTGTTGTTGTTACTTACATTATGAGACCTCATTTGCCAGTAGCAAGATACAGTATTAGGGTTTTTACCCTTTTTATCCGGCACAAAAACTGACACCTTTATACAAGGGGATCATGTTTGCAATAACCACAACACAAGCAGTCAAAATGCAAACACAAAAAAAGACAACTCAAGATATAGTAATATGTTTTACCCTTTTAACTGGCACAAAAACTGACACCTTTATTCAAGAAATCATGTTTGCAATAACCACAACACAAGCAGTCAAAATGCAAACAAAAAAAGAGACAACTCTGATAATAATATTGGCACTGTCCTGGAATTTGATTGGTCCACACCCGAGACGGCTTTTCTTAGAGCCCCTTAGTCTCTCCACTGGTGTTGGACCAGAAGACGCCAAAAGGCGTACAACTCTTGTGTTGTGGTTATTGCAAACATGATCCCTTGTGCAGGCTGTGTATGGAGACGATGAGGGATGGCGGCAACACCAGCTTGTAAGTAAGAAGCTCTTGACAAAAACGAAATCGCAACATATTAATAACTAGTTAATAAAGTGGTGAACTTTGAAAAAAATCAAAGACAGCTTAAAAGTAGCTCAGATTAACGCGAATAGTAGTAAAATAATAATGCCAGCGGGAGAGGCAGGATTGCCCACGTCCCATGCGGGTGGCCACTACTTCGCCGTATTTGCACGACAAGGCTCAGGAATGCGTGATACAAACGACGAAATGTGCGGTGGAAAACCCATGGATCGTGATGATGACTGAAGAAATTCGTGTTCAGTTGAGCCACTGCCCGTCACATAACTTAAACGCTGGTTGACAGTCAGTGCAGCCCGTGACTCCCAAAACCAACTTGTGATCACGTGTGTGTGTGTGTGAGCGTTGGTGCAGCGGTTAGCGCGCTGCACTACCAACCCGGTGACCAGTGTTGAATTCCAGCTCAGGGCCAACGCCATTGACGATTATCTGAACCGGACCTGGGCCTCCCCTAGGTCGACTCAGACTCAAATGACTACCTGGTGCAGTGTGTAAACAACGCCACCGGTGGAGAAAAAGGCGGTAGAGCATCTGCCCCAAGAGTCTGTTAAAGACTATACAGGGAGATCTTTGTCTGTGTTCTAACAACAACTCCTTTGTCCTTCAGGGATGTACAAGATGTCGGACTGCATAGCTAATGGTCGTGCTGCCATGTGTGAGTCGTGCCCTAAGGGCACATTCATGGACAGAGACAACCAGGAGAAGGTGTGCTCGTGGTGCAGCAGCTGTGGACCAGGTGAGTGTCAGCACAGCAGAGTAGGCGTTTCCCCTATCCATGCATTGTGCGTTTCAGAATTGTGTCTTCTTGCATGCGGCATAGATATTGCTTCATCATCGTCAGGATCCATGGACAGAGAGCCCGTAGTAGGTGGTCACACTGCACATTTCATCATTGGTCGTTTCCAATTTCCTATCTTGTAGTGCCACATCATAGTGGTGTAGTGTATACTACTGTAGTTTATGAGTGGTGTAGAGCGGAGCGTATTGCAGTGGTGTATAGTGCAATAGTGTAGTGTTTAGTAGTGTAGCGTGTAGTGTAGTGTATCGTCATAATTACAATCCATGGGCAGATAGCCCATGGTAGTATGTGTTCACTGCAAATTTCGTCATTTGATGTTTCCACCTTCCGTCTTGTGGCAATATGCTAAAGTCGTGGCACATTTTTCTGGCAACGCCCTCTTGCGATGTCATCAAGCCGTTATCTGTTAGGTCTTCCTCTTTTTCCATTTCCTTCCATTTTTCCAAATAGTGTCAATTTCCTTCTCATCGCTCCCTGCATTATCATCATCAGCAGCATCATTATCATCATCAGCATCATCATCATCATGTTGTCTTATACTACAATGCAACCTTTTTATTCTACATTAGCGGTAAGTACCCGGCGTTGCCCGGGCGAAAAAGGCAGACACACACACATCGATTTAGACACGCTTTCTATGTACATGAGTTTAGTGGAAGAAGCAAGGAACAATAATATCATTTGTCGGCACGCAAACATTATGATTGTAATATTAGCAAGGTGATTATTGAAAAAAATTGGTTTCTATGAAGATGATTTGGCACCAAAAAAAAATACAAAAATTTGTTGTCTGCACACAAACATTATTAATGTACATTGATTGTGTCTTTCGGCAAAGTTACGCAGATAGAAAACAATTAAAAGTGTAAAAAATATCACACAATACCATATAACAACAAGTAAACCGCCATTCGGGACTAAGTGGTGGTAACATCACCACGACGCTTGTGCCAAGCTAGGTGCACTTTGAGGCCACGTGAAGTGTCGAACGCCCGCTGGCAGGAGGTGACGGGGCAGACCTAGGTGCCACGGGTCGACTGACTGAGATGACTGAGATGACTGGCTGATGCACCACCTGTGCCCCCTACTGTGCCAACTTGCTGTGCTTTAGCGCTCCGCTCGTTGTTGTGAGCGTCGCTCCTCTGCCCCCCGTTGTTGTTGGAGGGCGACTGCCTCCAACTGCCCAGTAGCATCCTTCACGAGCCTCCTCCACAGAGGCCGATCTTGAGAGCACTGGTACCAGTCATCAGCAAGTCCACTCAGCTCTACGTCCTCCTGTACCACATCACTCCATCTCTTCTCTAGCCCGTGCCGCGCCCGTATAGCCCCCTCGATCCGGCCGAACAAAAGCTGTTTAGGCATGCGGTGGCTGGAAATGTGGGCTACATGGGCCAGCCAACGCAGCCTTCAAGGATTTGTGAGCTCCTCACACAATCCAGCCTGCAGGTTAAGCCCAGGATGGATCGTAGGCAGGCCAGCATAAATATTTGTAACCGGTTAAGATGTTCCATTAGGGGGGTCCATGTTTGGCATGCGTAGAGAAGGGAGGGAATGACTGTGGCCGAGAAGACCTGAAGCTTAGTGCGGAGTGACAGACCAGGCAGCTTCCACACAGCGTTACGCAACCGATGAAAAGATAATGCCGCTCGACTGATTCGGAGTGAGACCTCTGCTGTCAAACCGGAGACGGTAATGAGCACACTGCCCAGGTATGGCAAACTCTCCACTCTCTCCACAACCGGCCCATCACCAATTGGGAGTTGTGGGGGTGGAGTGTCCAATGGTACAAAAAACCAAGGCAGGTGCGTAGTTGTGGTGGGGCTGATGGCAAGGGCCCACCTCTTAGTGGCAAGCTCCAGGTTCAGCAGCAGGGCCTCCAACTCGTCCTCTGAGTGAGCAGCTGTTACCAGATCATGGGCATACATAACATCGTTGAGCAATAAGGAGGCATCCCTTGACGGCACCCGGGCATCGATCAGCCTCCCATTGTATCTGTAGCAGATTGAAGGCTTCACTAAGTACGTGGTAAAAAAATATATGTAAAATAATGTGGAAACCAGAGGACATCCCTGTCGCAGTCGAAGGTGTAGAGGGAATGGCTCCGACTCCCGGCCATGTAGTTTTACCCGGGCGGCAAAGAATATGAATTCCTGCAGTCACGAATGCTGTAGTGAAGAGAAGTAATGTAATAATGGGAAGGTTATATTTGCATAAAGAGGTAATGTAATGTAATAATGGGAACGTTATATTTGCATAAATAGGTGAATTTCAACGTGAGTTGAAACAATAATGAAGATGAAAGGAATGGGCAAATTACAAAGCAAAAACAATTGTTGTTTGCACACACTATGGTGTGTATGGCATTGTGATAAATGCAAAATTACTTGAAATGTTTTTAGGTATGTAACGTAAGAGAAAGAGGCAAAGATGTTGAAATCCAGCAGTCACGAAAGCTGTAAGTGAAGAGAAGTAATGTAATAATCGAAAGGTGATATTTTTTTTAAGTAGGTGTATTAGAACTTGAGTTCACACAATAATAAATCAGATATTTGAACGTGAGTTCACACAAATAATGAAGATGAAAGTAAGCAATACATCGTCTTGTTGTGAGCACACGACCAAAAATAATAGAATACTTCCAAGGTGATGAATAAAACAACGGTTTTGTACGTGCGTGATTGTAGCGTAAGAAGCAAGGAAACTTGTACTTACCATAGCCGTGGTGAGGCCTAGTCCCGTGCGGAGCCCCCGTCCTGACCTACATTGCCAAGCCGGCGGAGGTGGCACGTTGGCAGGCTGAGGGCTGGGCCGCTACCCCCCCCCCCTCCACCATCCCCCCGCCCGTGCAACAATAATGCTATCTAAGCACTATAATAGTTTTGATTTAAAGCTTTCGTGACTGCAGTAATTCACATTCTTAGTTCTTTCGGTAAAGTCACCACGTTGAAGGGAAACAACAAAATAATAAAATATGTATATATTATTTTTACATGTTGTTTTATATATATATTTTATTATTTTGTTGTTTCCCTTCAATGTGACTTTACCGAAATAACTAAGTGTATAACACTATAATAGTATTAGCTACGGACTCTGTAGTATTAACCTGCACGCATTGTGTTGGGGGGGGGGAGGGGTAAAGAGGACATCACACTGTGAAGAAATAGCCGCAGGGCTATGTGTATATTTATTGCATGTTCAACGCGTCAAACAAAATGTGAGCTCGACCGAACACGCATCACTTGGTAGGGTCCACCCCCCCCCCCACCCACCCAATTGGCGTGAGTTGGTACGGTCGAAGTCACGCCATAAATAAGTAGCTAAAGCTAAATGCCACTACATCGCTAATTCAACTAATGTAAAGGTGACGGACGTGAGAAAGGAATTAGGCTATGCCCACGGTGGGGCTTAGGGCGTGCTGCCCGTCAAAATTTTTTTTCAACGTGAACCCCACCGGTTGAGAGACAAATCCTTCGCAAGCACGCACGCGCAGATACTTTTTTTTCATATATATAAGAGTTTAGCGAATCCTTTGGATACAGCAGCTTAGATACAGCAGAGTGATCTTCTATAGCGATATATTTCTAGTGCCAATATCTTATTTTTTTTATTTTAACTGGAGTTATTTGACCATACTTCAGGTTTGGGAAAGGTAGAAGCAGGCGTGGGCACATAGTACAATAAATAAATAAAAATTATGAACTGCCTATAATGAAGCCCATGCATCAGCCTGTAGCGACTGTTTTACCTGTGTACATGCGCTTTTACTACCAATATTGCTCACACTAAGTTTGTTTTTGAAGTTACATAGTGTTGGTATGAAGCCAATTAAAAAAAAAAACCTGAAATCCACCACCACCCGACAAAGAAACTCAAGTTGTCAGGTGGCTAAAAAAAGCACCGGTTGATTTGGTTTTACAGCAAACCGAAGGAATGTCGAAAAGTAGGCAAAACTTTTTTTGCATTTTTCAGTTTGCGCGGTGGTCGCCCATACAAACTCTGTCCAGACTCAAACCTCTGCAGCTTCTAAGAGCGGCGGGCGGGTGATGTCAGCCTTCTCGCGGCCCACCCTGTCACGTGGAACGAAGTCCACACCAAAGTTCATAACGAACGACATCACTAAGGAAGCCGTCTGTTGCCAGTCGACCTCTGAGGTTACAGCGGAAAGAACAGAGCCTGGCAACGAAGCTCCTCCTCGGGGCCAGACGAGCCGTTCCATCAACCCCATCGGTTCGTCTATGCCAGCTAAATGTTGAGAGCCTATTCCGTGCAGAAACATGCATCCTCACAAAGATCATCCGGCAAGAAAACATTCACATCCTCAATGTATCCAAGACGCGTGTGGAGAAAAGCGGCACTCTACAATTGAACATTCCAGGGTACATCCTCACACAGAACACGGTTTGCAGACACTCATCGACCACCTTGCCAATGCCTGCAACAACTTTGGCCTGACAATCAGTCTGAAAAAGATACAATGTCATGGGCCAGGATGTCAGAGACACCCCTTCCATAAGCGTTGGCAGCTAAACCCTGGAAGTCGTTCAGGACTTCACCTACTTGGGTTCTACCATCACCTACTACAATTTGTCCCTCGTCACAGAGATTGACGAGCGCATTGGGAAGGCGTCAACAGCTACGTTCAGGTTGACTCAAAGAGTGTGGGAGAACAAATCCCTAACGCTCAACACCAAAGTACAAGTGTACCGGGCCTGCGTCCTTAGCACCCTCCTCTATGAGTCTGAGTCCTGGACAACATACGCCCATCAAGAACATCGACTAAACACATTCCACCTCCGATGTCTCAGGCGCATCCTCGATATCAGATGGCAAGATCACATTCCCAACACCTCAGTTCTCAACTTGGCCAACATTCCCAGCATGTACTCTCTACTCAGTCATAGGCGCCTGAGATGGCTTGGACACGTGCACCACATGCAGGGTGGCAGAATACCCAAGGGGATGTCTTGTACGGCGAGCTGGCATCAGGCAAACGGGCCGCTGGTCGCCCGGTCCCGCGCTTCAAAGATGTCTGTAAACGGGACGTGAAGAGCTGCGACATCTACCCAAGTGACTGGGAGAAAACTGCCGGCAACCGACTCAGCTGGCAGCAGGCTGTGAAGACGGGCCTCGGGAGAGGCGAGGAGAAAAGACGCACCGCTTGGCAGACCAAGAGGGAGCGACGTCAAGAAAAAGCAACAAACGCCTCTGGAGCTGCCACCGCATTCACTTGCAATTGCTTTGGCAAGGATTGCCACTCAAGGATTGGCCTACTAAGTCATTCTAGGTGCTGCAAAACCTACAGCTGACCTCGTAAGGCGCAAACAAGAATTGCTTCTCGAGACACAAGGGCCTATGATGATGGCCATCTTCGCCGATTCCAAGGGCCACGCTAAACAGTCTGGCTACTCACATCGTGCATCAAGCCAAGAGACGCATGCAAGTCTGTACTGAGGCCGACATCAAAAGCAAACTTCTGGTACAGGATTCTTCCATCGGCCTCCCGGCTTCAAACCATCCACGCTGCCGCTGGCCGACCATTAACCGAATCAGGACGGGGCATGGCCAAAGCGGCCACCTGATGCGCAATGAAGCGCGTGGAATATTCGGTGGGGCCCGCCGATCGCGGCCATCAATCCAAAACCATCGTCCGCGTTGCAAACCGCTGCCGTCTTCACAGCCTCAAAGGAGGTGGCCGCGGGGGCCGGCATCCACCCCACCGCCCTCCCTCCTCCACGGCCTCGATCGGCTCACCGCCGGGCCCCCAGCTAAATGGGCTGGCTCACCGCCGCATGGGGCTATTCCACGCAACGCCCACTCTCCCGCTGGTGATCGAACTCTGCGACGCGCACGCCCCACCGTTAACACTACAGCGGCGGGTGGTCATGCACGACCCCGCACACTCGAGTCGCAAACACTGCGCCGACGCTGAGCTAGAGCCTCTCCCATCGCTCCCCAATTCACCCCCCAGATACTCACACGCCCTGTCGCGGACCTCGCGGACGCACCCTGCCGGCGTCGCGCGGGCGCTGCGGGCGGCTCGAGGAGGAGGAGGCGGGCGGGGAGTCGGTCTGGGCGGCCCAGGCGGTTCGGGGATGAGACAACTCGCTTGAACAAGTTTCGGGTTTCGCCCATTTTTAACGGCCCTTTGATTTCGGGGAAAAAAAAAAAAACAACCATCCGGGGTTAACGTTATAGCCTGCGCAGACGATCGTGCGGCCTACCGGTAAATTTTCAAAGAATTCTCCGCCCTCACGTGGAGCGTCACGTTACGTTACGTTATTGTTCAGGCCATTGTCTCTGCGCCCGTGGCCATTAATCCCTGACTCAGCCGGTTTAATATCTGGGAGGGCGTTCGGCTGGCAAAAATACACACCCGGTGTGTACTTGGTCGGTGGCACTAGGATCCCCCCCCCACCCACCCTCACTGTCTGCTCTGCTCACTTAACATTTCACCCCAGCCCTTTTGCCGATGTCGTGCGTAACTCATCGCAGCTGGCCCGGTGGACCTTGGTGCGCCCCTACAATTTGAATTCAGTTTAGGGGCGCCACCAAGGTGATTCGTCCTGGGAGGGTCGGCCAACTTCCTCGCACCGGGAAACCACGGGACTTCCCACCTAGGGGCCCTTCGGATGAAAACCCGTTGTGCCAAGCGATCCCCCGCCGGGACACTGCGTGTGTGTGTGTGTGTGTGCTGCGTGTGTGTGTGTGTTGTGTGTGTGTGGTGTGTGTGCTGTGTGTGTGTGCTGTGTGTGTGTGTGTGCTGTGTGTGTGTGGTGTGTGTGTGCTGTGTGTGTGTGCTGTGTGTGTGTGTTGTGTGTGTGTCTGTGTGCGTGTGTGTGTGTTGTGTGTGTGTGTGTGTATTGTGTGTGTGTGTGTGTGCTGCGTGTGTGTGTGCTGCGTGTGTGTGCTGTTTGTGTGTGCTGCGTGTGTGTGTGCTGCGTGTGTGTGTGATGCGTGTGTGCTGCGTGTGTGCTGTGTGTGTGTGCTGTGTGTGTGTGCTGCGTGTGTGTGTGTGTGCTGCGTGTGTGTGTGCTGCGTGTGTGTGTGCGTGTTCCGGGGGAGGGGTAGTGGGGGAATCGTGGCTCTTGCGGAGTTGACCCACCGGTTAGTACTGAAACTAGTAACTAATTGGCAACGTTTTTGTGTTACGTGACAAACCCCTCCACTGATTGGCTGTGTCGGATGGTGGTGGCAGGTTTCATGACGATGATGATTTGCAGGTTCATCCCAGGATGCTTCTGTTGCGCGTCGTCGCTTTAAGATGTTTCTCTGTTCATGTTTTGTTTGTTGCGGTTGTACCCGACTCAAGAGCCGCGTGGCTCACAGGGCTCTATACCTAAAAAATGAAAACTTGAAAACTTGAAATGACGACACGACATTCATATTTAGGCGATATAACCACCACCTCTCACCCCCCTTGGGATGCTTTTTGTTGTTGTTTCCTAATCGCAGGCGAGGAGGCGGCTGTGAACTGCTCCGTGGCCCAGGACACGGTGTGTCGGTGCGCAGAGGGCCTCAAGAGAGACGACGACTTGGGAATTTGTGTGCCTCAGGAGTTGCAAACCCCAGGTAGTAGTAGGATTACAAAGCCGCTCAAGTCAACCGCAATACGCCGTTTGATTTCTCAGCTGTCAGGGAGAGCACGGGACAGCCTGGTCCACTGAAACGGCAGAAGCGTTCTGCAATAGAAGCACGAAATTCAAACTCAACCTCACGTCTATTGAATGCTTCAGGAACTGCATGCACGGTCAAACACAGCCACGTGTGACGTTATCAATTCACGACCCTGTGCAATACTGAACACCGAATTTTTTATATTCTTAGTTTTTTCGGTAAAGTCACGTTGAAGAGAAATAACAAAGTAACAAAATATATATATAAAACAATAAAAAATTCTCACGACGTTTCGACCATAACTCAAACGGTCACCTGATGATGAATTTTTTATTGTTTTATATATATTTTGTTACTTTGTTGTTTCTCTTCAACGTGACTTTACCGAAAAAACTAAGAATATGAATTACTGCAGTCACGAAAGCTTTAAATCAAAACCGATTTTTTTTATTTATTTTATCTACGCTCAAGTTTTAGACTGGAGTCCCCTTGCCTCCAAATATTCACACTGGGTAGTAGCGCTTTTACTGCTCGTTTCGGAGGTTTGTAGTTCAAAACCCCATCGGCTACCCTGGTTAATGCGACTGGTGCATTCAACAAATTGAAATGCGCCATCTGCTTCACAGTGAATGATAGTGGTCTGGTAACCTTATGCTGGTAGGAACGAGGTTGTAAACTGAGTGTACCAGCCTGCAATAGATTAATGTGTCCTTCCGTCCGTCCGTTTGTCCGTCCCCTTTCAATACTTTAACGAAGTGAAATCTCGTGCTGTTGGGGTGTATAAAATCAGCAATAGACAGCGCAGAGACTTTATATTATGTCTTATTGCACCCAACATTTGGAAGTGACGTTATCTCATTTGCGAACTTCGCTTTTGGGGATGTGGCAAATTCACAGACAGCCCACAGCCGAATACAATTTGCGAGGCGCAGTTCGAAGGCACCGTGACGTTACTTTGCCAATGTTCCTACCAGCCCACCCTGCAGGGACCTGTTTTGAAAATAGAATGCCATGTGTTCTGGCATCGTGGTTCGAATGTGAAATTATCTGCAAAGTTCCTTTATGGGGGGAAGGCAAATCGTAAAAAAAAAATAACATCACCCGCAACTGTGAAACTGCTGCAGATGATAATCTGTGAAAAAGCGCCTTCGCAGAAAATTTTCGTGCTTAAAGAAACTATAGAAATGATGCAAAGAGCAGTGATTTAGTGCGGCCTGGAGGCGTATTATTAAATAATGCATATTACAATTCCTCATAGGGGAAACGCATACTAATTAACGGATTACTAACGTAGCATATAATCACAATAACACACATTACAACTAATTACTAATCTACAACTCATTACTAATCATAACCATTGACTGATTACTAATCGATTATATAATTACAATACCCCCCTCCCCCTCCGCCTCAAATCACTGCACCTGATATGAGTTCAATGATGACGTCACCCTGCTGCTGCTCTATATAAAACCGGGAGCAAGCGAGGGCTTTACCATTCTGGCGAATTGCCCGATGATGCTGGATGTATTTACCAGCGAAACGTCACAGTACAACTCAAACTGTAAATGTTGTGGATTCACTCTTCAACACACCGGTGGGCTAAAGTAGTGAATTATTTGTCTTTTGTCAACGTGACACTTTTATTTTTGCTGATTGGCCGTGTCGGGTGGTGGAGGGTTACGACACGTTTATAAATAACGCGATCTAACCCAAAAACCTTTATTATGAGCAGTGATTTGATGGTTTGATTTTGATAGAGGTTGTGTTAATGCAACGTACTGCATTCGTATTCATTGCAATGTATCACATAGACCTGACAAGTTGGCGGAGAGGGGACTGCTGTTCACAGCTTGTTGTTTTTTTTCTCCTTCATAAAATTTTCAGACTCCACGTCAGTCGTGTTGGCGGCAGTCCTCATCTTCGTCGTGACTGCACTCGTGTTGCTCATAGTTTACTTCAACATGAAGCAGAAGGGGTTGACTTTAAAAACGATGGTGAAGCGATCAGGTAAGTGGCAACGTTCTGTGCTTAATCCAAAGATCACATCCTGCTATTGGGGCTGAAATGATGCACCTGAAGTGACATTGAATGAGTCACCGTAGCGATTGGTAGACAATCGAATTAGCAGTTCTACCAGTTGGACCTGTGGTCAAGGCACGGAGCCCTCTGGAGGAACCGGAGCGGGGGCAGGGCTGAGGGCGGGGCCTGGCCACGCTGGTGCAGGATAAAAGGACGAGCTCCGACTAACAATCGGGACTGCTGCGATCTGGAGTGGAACCCCTCGTAATGCCATCGTCGTTGATGATCTTCGCCCTCTTCAAGCTGTCGGTCTGGCAGCGTGTTGGCTGTCCCGACCCGGTATGTGATTATCCCCTAAGGCCGTGAAGGCCGGAATGAAAGAGGGACAGCACCTCCTAATAGTGTCTGTGAATTAGTACGCTACACATCTACCAAAATGTATTTTTACTCATACGGGAATTCAATATGTGCAGAGAAATCACGTCTCGGCACGAGCCGCCTCTGAATGCTCTCTGCAGACGCCACTGCACAGAATGAAAACAATGAGTCGCATTCCTTTTTAGAACTTGGAAATTGTCCCTAGGAGAGTGTTGCTACTGGTGACGGTGACCCCTTTCATGCCTCAATTCATCCGACAATATTTCACACCCGAGTAAAGTCGTGTTGGACAGGACGCTCAATTGAAGCGTCGTCGTTACTTCGTTCTGTGCTTGCCGCTCTTGTCACAAAGGGAGGAAGTTGACAATTGTCGAGGTCCCGAGGGGCATCGAGGTAGGATTTGGACTGATTCAAAAACGACCGCAAAACTCTCTGTTCATGGTCTTTAGCTGCAGGTGATGACATTTTCATCTTGGCTATGCAATTATGCAACTTTACATTCCAGTTTATATCTGTCCAATCTTAAAAAATATACGTAGTAGAAATGTTCTCCTTGACTCCAATATCGCCATGTTTAGTATTCTGTGTCGAATAATAGAACCGTTTTTCGTTTTGGACCTTTCCAAAATTATTCAACCGCATAAACTTTGCTATGAATCGGTCATGAACTAATTTCATTGGATTTTTTTCAGACACTCATACAAATAACGAGCATGATGAAAATCTACCGCTTGTTATCGTGCAAAATGAACACAAGGTGCCATATGGAGGTCAGGTAAACTCAACGCAACATGGTGGCATGATGACCCTACTCTACATTGTTTCCGTGTGTCGGCATGCACCAGTACACTGAAAACTCCATCCCAGATAGACAGAAATAATCGTGACCGTGTCTTCTCCACACGCTACAGAGGAGCAATGAGAGCAGCGAGACAATGCAACAGATCCGAGAGAACAAAGAGAAACTCAAGGCCTGGATCGGAGCGGATCCCTCGGCTTTCCTGGAGCATCTCAACGGCTTCAAATTGATTCCACGACACGTGCACCAAGCGGCCATCGACAAGGGCGGAGAGGAGAGTGTGGAGCTCGTTCTGGACCACTTCCTCAGCCAGGGAGAGGCACGCTGTGAGACGCTGTGGGACGCCCTCTACTCTGTGAGGAAGCAATACGTGCAGCTGTGGAAGTGGATTCAGTCACACGGTACGACCCACGTGAACGCACCGGTGTATTGACATCGAATGCCATTTTGTGAGAGTCGAGGAAGAAAAACCATGCATATGCGTGGCTTCCGTAATGCTTTCCAGCACGAGTTCGTCCTCGGGGAAGTAATCGGAGACTACGACGCTACGTTTAAAGCCGCACAGGAATGATGTCATGCTGTGCGTGACTGAACGACTTCACGTCACACTTGACTGTTTAAGTACCAGTATGAACCTAAATATGTTATACGTTGTGCCTTGATTCCAGAAGCACAATTGTAGCTGAATAGGATATAAACTCAATTAAAATCTGTGTTAAACGATTCGTTTGAAATTCATATGAGCCTCTGTCGATCGCAGGCGAGGCGTTGAGGGCCATTCGAGATAAGGAGTCGGATCTGAAGCTCTGGATCGCCAGAGAACCCAAGCATCTTCTGCTGCAGCTGATGAGTCGGGGACGGATCCCGAACGAGCTCTTCACCGAGGCCAAGGGCATCCGGGATGGCGTGGAGTGCACGGAGCTGCTGCTCAACTTCTTCAAAGAGAGAGGGAATGACGACTGCCTCAAGCTGCTCTTTGCCCTGCAGGCCGTGCAGAACGAGTATCCTGGACTCAAGGAGTGGCTGGGAGGCCTTGGTAACAAAATAATACATTTATAATTAACATTTAATTTCAGACACAATCCACATTTGTCGCATTAACCAGCCATCATTCCTTCTGGTGACATGTCCTGCCCAGGTGCAATTAATTAACAAAGCAATGTCCTATAACCCATGCACTGTCGTTCTGTTTTTCTACCTAACTTGAAACCGTGTACTATTTCATGCTCTTGCAGTGCTGTTCCTTTTAATTGTTAGTGTCCACGTGTCTGATCCGTACGTCATAGCAGGTAATGCGGGCCGATTAAAACTTTATTCTTCAGGCACATTGGTTACGTTACATTTCATTATTTTGTTCAATTTTCCAAAAGCACTCCAACCTGCTCTCATCCACCTTTGAAGGCTGAAACGGCGCCAATTGCCGCTGCGTTTCACCCCCTTTTGTGGTGCCGCAGACTTCCTCCGGAGACTCTCCAACAAGTCCCCCCTGGTTCTGAACAAGTACAACGACTTTGTCCTCCGAGACAAAATCCGCTTCAAGACGAGGGAGCTCCTCGTGGCACTGCACGACGACCTGACGCCTCTGCTCTCCCAACTGCAGATCAGGAACATCCTCACCGACAACAGCGTGCGGGTAATGTCCAACTAACACCATTGGAAACCTCATTTGCCAGTAACAAAATATGATAATTGGTGTTTTATCCTTTTAATCTGGCAACAAAACTGACACCTATTTTTTTACAAGGAGTCATGTTTACATTGACCACAATACCTGCGGTCGGAACGCAAACAAAAAACAACAACTCTGATAATGTATGTGGCACTGTCCTTGAAATTGATTGGTCCACACCCGAGACAGCTTTCTTTAGAGCCTCGTCTCACGTTGGTGTTGGACCAGAAGACGCCAAAAGGCGCACAACTCAAAGACAATGCACCATCAGAGTATGAGAGCTCGGGGAATAGGAATACAACTTTATCTGGAAGTGTTGGTCATGTTGGATCATCTTTACAAGAGTCACACTTGGTCATAAACGCTGCTGCTTTACAACGCAAACACAGAGCGCTTCTGGAGTGTTGCAGGCAAGCGGCTCTGAAGAACCGCCATCGCTACAGAAACGTCGTTCCGCTCTGAACGTCGCGTCTTTGCGTTCGTGTGTCCACCCGCAGGCCGTGAAGGAGATGCAAGCTCGGCAAGGCAGCGAGAAGGCGACACAGCACATGGTGGAGCTGGTGATGGCGAGGGGGCGACCCAGGGTCAAGCAGTTCTGGGAGGCGCTGTGGGACCTCAGGGAAAGTTACCCAGACCTGGAGAACGTCTTTGAGAAGTTCTAATGGGTGGAACCGGAGAGCGAGAGGGGAAGACCTAACGGAGAATGGCTTGACGATGACCTCATAACGAGATTGGTGCCAGAAAGATGATGCGGCCACTACTTTAGCATATTGGCACGACAAGACAGGGAGAGAGGAAAGTGGAAACAAACCACCACCTACGACTATGGGGATATCTGCCATATGGATTGTGATGATGATGAATGGTGCGTGGGGGGTAGTTGTGGTCCAGTGGTTATTGCACTGCACAAATCACGGTGGCTAGGACATGTTAATTACCCTGCCCCGTATACAGGACGGGAGGTCGTGGGTTCGATCGCGACCCAGACGCCTGCTGTTTATTTTGAGTTTGCAACATCTCTCTCCCCGTGGTCACGTGGATTTTCATCCAAGTCGTCCTCTTTTCCCTTCCGCATGAAGAATCAACGTGACGCGTTTAGAATATTTTGCTGCCATAAAATTCCACGTGATGATGTTGACAGGAATTCGTTGAGCTATCGTTTCGGATAGCCATGTCGCTTCTGAATAAGAGCTACTGTATAGCTCATTGGGCCTGTACTGGAAAGATAACTCAAATATATTTTTTTTATCATTTATGAACCCAACTGCTCTGTCTGCTTCTTCCCTGGCACTGCTCCGCTTTGTAATTCCCTGCCATCGTGTCAAGTTTTTGTAACAACCCTTGCCCAATTAAAGAAAGTTATTGTCCATTGACAGCCACGCAGATGAATGTGCATGATTGCCGTGGGGGGGTGTTTAGTCAACGAGACCAAATTAATCGGTCCTATTCATTAAGATTACAAACATTCATCAATGGTTCATTTAAGTTACGGTCGGCTTATTTTAACTTTGTTTTATTAATTTATAAATAGCATCACGATACATATCATAATTATTTAATCACGGGCCAAGCAAGATGTATTCACTTGCATTAGATCGCTGCCACTTCCAGAGCAGATCACTTTGCCAGGCTCCCTCACTACCAGGCCGGGGATGCCTGATATGGCCATGGTCGCCATTTAACAAAAAAATGGCCGCGAGTTATCAACTCCGAAAAGCATTCGTAGAAGATTACAATTCTTAATTCTATATTTAAAGCTTTCGTGACTGCTAGGATCCATACTCTTTGGTTCTATTGGGTAAAGTCACGTACGTAGGTGAAAATAAAACAACAAAAAATCACGACGTTTCGGCCACAACACAAGCGGCCCTCATCAGGTGAAGGGACGAGACCGTCTGGAGTGAGGAAATCCGATGAGCTGTGAAGCTCTTTCGTTCACACATTGATTAGCTTGGGGGTCGTGATCTGGGCGTGGCTTTTCTCGCTCCAGCGCTGTCCTCCAGACGGTCTCGTCCCTTCACCTGATGAGGGCCGCTTGTGTTGTGGCCGCAACGTCGTGATTTTTTGTTGTTTTATTTTCACCTACGTGACTTTACCCAATAGAACCAAAGAGTATTACAATTCTTAGTTGCATTACTTGATTCATGATCATCATCATCAGCGATTGTCATCTCCTTGCTCTCTATTCATCATCATCGGTGATTATATCACCTTACCATAATCATCATCAGTGACAACATCACCTTATGTATTCATCATCGGTCATGACATCACCTTGCTCTATTCGTCATCATCAGTGATGACATCACCTTATGTATTCATCATCAGTGATAACATCACCTTGCTCTATTCGTCATCATAGGTGATGTCATCAGCTTGCTCTATTCGTCATCTACAGTGGTGAAATTACCTTCACTATTTAAGATCGGAAACAGGAAGACTTCTTCACAATTCTGGCAAATCCTCTGATGAAGCTGCTGGTTGTTGTTGTTGTTGTTGTAATCGCCAGCTAAACATCGCAGCAGTACTGAGGAAGGAAGCTCTCCCTGGCTATTGCGTTGAAAAGGGGTCGGGGGTAGCAGGGCGTGCTGATATTCTCAGTCACCACCGTGCCTGGTTACGGTGCAAGTCTTTTGTTTTGCATCTCCCCCGTACCCGTTCTCTGGCCTTTATCCTCCCAGAAGTGTCAAAGGAGGTCGCGCGTGGTGGGACAAACAGTGGGTATCTCTGATGTGGCTTTTTTTTTAAGGCATCCGACCAGCATGGAAGAGAAGGCGAAATATTTTTCACGGGGAAGGGGCTTTCTTTTTGGGGCTCCATGGTGGCTAGGAGATGTTGACTACATCGCCTGGTATACAGGAAGTTGTGGGTTCGATCCTGACCCTGACGCCTCCTGTATATTTGGAGTTTGCATCTCCCTCCGCCGTGGTGGCGTGGATTTTTCTCTGGGTCCTCCGGGTTTTTCGCTCCACATTTAAGAATCAACATCACACGTTTCGAGTTTTTTTGGCTACTGCTCTAAATTTCCACACGACGTTGATGATATCAGCCACTTCGTTGGGCGATCATTCATGATAGCCAGGTTCCACTTCCGAAAGAAGAGCTATGTAGCTTAGTGGGGCCTTACCTGGTAAAATAGTGCAACATATACTCTGGGGGGAGAGGCTTTCTAGAGCCCCCTCTCGTGGAGGCCTTTCCACCAGCAGTGGCCCAGGTAAGTGATTTCAAGACTGCCTCTTTAGCTTTCAGAATAGTTGTCTTCATACTGGAGGAATCCGATGAGCTACAAAGCTCTTTTTTTCACAGATGTCCAGTGTGACCCTTGGTAGCCATACAGTCACGTGACAAATTCACTTCACTTCTATTCCTTCCACCGAGCCTCGTTCCACGAACGACGTTTCGTTAACGGTGCCTGTAGTCGACACATTTTAGAGCCCCTTGGGCCAGACCAGATATCGGTACCACCCAAGTTGGCCAAACTTCATTGGTGCCATTGTATTTGTTACACCAACAGAAGTAAAATAATACACGATAACCTTTCCAAATGAGCAGCTGTTTAATTTTTCTCCCAGGAAAACTGCTTTCGCACCTATCGCATTCACGCCTATTTGCCCGAACGTTGCAAATAAAACATTCCAACACCTCTGCTGTTAATTAAGATAAGTAATAACTTACGAAATGGATGTTTGTCCCCAACGGATGTATTTCATACACATTCTTGCATCTATTCACGCTTGTTCTTCAATTTCAGTGACTTGGTTAAGTCTGGAATAGATTGGCGCTATCTGTTTTCCTTCTGTTTCCAGCGGCTTGTTTGCTCATGATCATTTACTGGCAGGTGAGGCAAGTACTAGTGGTTGTGTATTATTTCTGTTCATAAAATATATCTAAAGTGCCAACTTTACCCTCAATGTACTGTTAATGTACCTTCTTTGGTTCTTTCGGTAAAGTCATGTAGAATGAGAATAAAATAATAAATGAATAAAATAAAATAACAATGAAATTCTCACGACGTTTCGGCCACAACACAAGCGTCCTTCAGCATGCTAAGTCCGCCAATTAAATGCTAATTTTTTATGCTAATTCACTTGTCAAGGCGCTTTGTTTCTTCTCACACAGCTTAAAGGTCGCGGTCTGAGCTTGGCTCTGTTCGCTCCAGCGCTGTCCTCCAGACAGTCTCGTCCCTTCACCTGATGAAGGCCGCTTGTGTTGTGGCCGAAACGTCGTGAGAATTTTATTGTGTTATTTTATTTTATTCATTTATTATTTTATTCTCATTCTACGTGGTGACTTTACCAAAAGAACCAAAGAAGATGAATCCTTGCAGTCATGAAAGCTTTAAATCGAAAAGTGAATGTACCTGTTAAGATTATTAGTTAAGGCCAGGTACTACAGGCAAAAGTTATGATTTTTGTTCAGTTTGTCAATTTTGATCTTTTTGTTATTTTGCTTCCATAAATTGTAAACTTTCATAAAATGCACACAATTATTACCAATAACTTTGTTAGTGGTAACCATTGGCACTTCTTGACTGGTTCTAGACTGATCTGACTTCTAGCCTGGTTGCTTCAATGAACTCTCTAGGCATTGTCCAAGTCAAGGAATCAACCAAGAAGCACACAAGGCGATAGCTGGAGAGGGCGTTTGCTGGAGCCTTGCACATCTTCCCTGATGTGAAAGGAAAACTCCTCCTCTATCCAGCTAACCTGTCCATGAGGGAACTTACCAAAGAAAATCAGTCTCTAAAAAGGGAGCTGCAGACCCTGAAAAGTGTCGGTGATGAAGATGTTATAGCCAAAGCAGCCATCAAATTGAAAGAGGACATCAAGAGTCAAGATGTTCCTCAAGCCTGGCCGCCTGAAGTCAAACCAGAAGCAGAATGTCCTACCATTCCAGAGTCGCTCATTGTCTTCCTGAACTATCTACTCACAGGCGCTCATGATCCTGATCATGCATCCCATAGTGTTCAGCGGCTTCTGCAATCATTTGTCCATGACATAGTTTATGCAGTGACATGTGCAACGACCAAGCCTTCCAAACACATTGTTCTGCCATTCAGTGTCAAGTCATTGTCAGGGAATGTAGAGCTGATAAACATCCTCAACCGACTTGGTCACAGTGTGTCCTATTCACGGATGGAAGAGATCGACACTGCCCTGCGTCTTCAGAACCTCTCATCATCAGGGAGTGACATTGCCCTACCAGCTAACATCCATCCTGGTATATTCACAACTTTAGCCTGGGACAATATCGATCGTCTTGAAGAAACCGTCACTGTCAGCGGTGAGGGATTGCTGTGCAAGCAAAGCGAGTCAGCCCAGGTCCTCTCCAGCCCATTGCCCTCTGTTGCCAAAAACAAAGCTGAGAAGCATTAATGCACCCCCGCCAATGGTACCAACTTACAACGCTGGACAACGGGTGGAGGCCACCACAAAGCAACAGTGCAGATGGCGATACCGCAGCCAATACTCAGCTTGCCAGGGAGAAGAAACTTGTTCGGGTCCTAGCACGCACGTCACAACAGGAAGACCAGCCAATCAGCAGCTGGACAGGCTTCTACATCCTGACTCGAGGTGAGACGACGGTCATCCCCGACAATGCAGGCTCTCTGCCCGCCATCAGTGCTCCAGCGACACAAGTGTCTACCGTCAACGAGGTGCTGAACCGGTCACCGAGCGTCGTGTGGTACTTAAGCCTGACAAAGATTGTCCGCCTCTTTGAACCAAGCCGTGCATGCGACGGATGTCGAGATCACATGGAAACACCGTGACAGGCTCCATGATATCGTCGTCAGGCTTGGGGTATTCCACACCATCTGCACACTGCTGGCAATAATTAGGAAAGCGTTTCCAAACTTCTGGACTCCGAGATCTCTGCATTGAGTCTGGCATGATCGCAGAAGGCTCCATTGTTTCTGGTGTTATGGATGGCCGCAAGCACAACAGGGCAGTGCGACTACACAAGCTCCTGTGTGAGGCTCTCGTGCGACTGACATGGAATGGTTTCCTGTCCTGGTTGGAAGCAACTCAAATGAACCGCATGGTTCACCTGGATGAGACGCTGAGGACCGTTGATAACCTTAGGAAAGAAGTCTCGCAAGCCGCTTTGAAGGAGGTCCTAGAGAACAGCTCGTGTACACGCGTCGTGGAACTGTTTGAAGTCTACCGCGAGTTCCTCAGAGGTTGGAAACGGCAGCCTCTCGACCTTCTGGACGCCCTATTTGGACACGGTTGAAATATTGTCGGGGCTCATCCGAGCATCCAGAGAGGGAGACTGGATGCTACACTTGGCAAGCATTCGAGCAATGATCCCGTGGTGCTTCGCTTATGATAGTATTAATTATGCACGCTACCTCCCCTACTACTATGCCCAGGTGTCTCAGCTGCCCATCACACAACCAGATGTGTACACGGAATTCATGGAAGGAGGCTTTTCGGTTCAACGGAGCTCCGCCAATCCCTTTGGCCGAATCCCTGTTGACCAAGCTATAGAAAAAACGGTGAACAAAGACACCCAGACAGCTGGAGGGACAAAGGGATTCAGCTTGAAGCCAGGAGCCGTGACCAAATATTACCTAACAGCTGAGTACAGAAGCATGTACCTGAGACAGCTGAGAGACATGATAGGTCAAAGCAGGTCCAAATTGTCCCATCCAGATCTACAGGGTCCAGGGGTCAAGAGAGATGAAGCAGATGTCCAGTCTCTCTTTGACCTTATGGAGAATAACTGCATCAATCCTATGTCCCCAGATGAGACAGATCTGGTTAGCCTCTCTACTGGCACCATG